TTGTAGTGTGAGCTCAGTGTTGTGATTTGTAGTGTGAGCTCAGTGTTGTGATTTGTAGTGTGAGCTCAGTGTTGTGGTTTGTAGTGTGAGCTCAGGTTTTATCTGTTTTGCTCTCACATGTGCTCCAGCTTATAGGACCGTGTCAGGCATATAGTAGATGATCAGTAAATAGTTGTCAGTTGAATGTATGCAGAATCATACACCACAGCCGTGCTGTAGGAATGTAAGGCAGGGTCTCAGAGATGCTGAAGCACAGCCTTATGTGAAAGGCTCACTGAAAGCTCCCAGCCCCATCTGTGGTCCTGAAGGTCCTGCCATGACATCTCTGATCCCCACCCTTAATCTGTTTTCTTCCTCACAGCACAGGGGATGAACACAGCAGGGGGAACTGGGGCCACCTGGACCAGCTGGCTGCCCTGCGCTGGGTCCAGGACAACATTGCCAGCTTTGGCGGGAACCCAGGCTCTGTGACCATCTTTGGAGAGTCAGCGGGAGGAGAAAGTGTCTCTGTTCTTGTGAGTGATCCTGGCACCAGCCTCAACCCCACGCTTGATGTGATGCTGATGGGACCTCTTGGAGATCTGTCCATCTGGCTATGGATACCTCTGTTTATAATACCTGAGTTCAGGACTGACCCTACTCACTGACTAGCATCAGGGGACGGAGAGCTGAAGACCAAGCTCTCCTTGGCCCCCAGGAAACTCAGAGCTAAGTTTAGTGTCCTGGGGCCGTAAGAATCTCCAGTTGCAGCCTGCAGTGGTGGCATTGTCCTCTTCTAGCTTGGCTGAGTTCTGTCTCTCTCTCTCTCTTTCCCACTCATTTTATCATTCCCTTCTCTTCATAAGCAGGAGTAGGCATAAATTATGAGTAGGGCAGGCACAGACAGAGGTGGACAGAGGTCATTATTTGGGTCAAGCCAGAACTACGTGTGGAGGGGACATGGACACTGTGAACAGTCTGGGACTTCCCCTTGGGTGGTGTGATGACTGGTCTATGCCCAAGAAGAGGGCAACCATCTCTGTGACTGAGGGTCCCAGTGGGTGACAGGAAGGAGGGATGGAGCTGGGGATGGGGGACACACACACAACCTGGGGCTGTGAGAGGTCCTGCTGGGGCAGGGATTGGGTGCAGGAGACACCAGGGGAGCTGGGATGAAAAACCAGATGAGAGGGTGCCGGGAGCTGTAGGAGCCCTCCAGCTGCCTCGAGGTGGGCAGAGGGTCAGTCCCACTACAGTATTCTTCAATCCTGTGTTAGTTTTGTAGTTGAACACTCAGGGAAAACATTTTTATACTTTTGAAAGTATGGAAAAAGGAAAAATACAGGTAAGCCCAAGAAAGATAAAAGCTATTCACCATCCCACAACCCAAGGATGGTCACCATGCTGACTTTGACATGGATTTTCCTAGTCTTGTTTCTACGACTTTGTATCTATCTATTCATCTATCCGTCCATCCACCTATCATGTATAATCTATCTTTGTCTTTTTTAAACTAAAGTACTTTCCTGATTATTACAACACAACACAAATATTTTACTAAATATTAAGTGCTCTCCCTTAATAGTATCTTTTACAGTGGACATTATTCCATGATGAGAAAGAGAAACCGTTAATTTGCCCAATCTTATAATATTGGAATTGTGAGTTATATCTAGTGCGTACCATTTTAAACAGCAGGAGCATTCTTAGAAATCTTTGTGTGCCTGTGGGATCATTTTTTAGGATAAGCTCTGAGTCATGGAGATGCTGAATTGGAAGTTGTGGCTAGGAGATGCTAAGCTGCCTTTCCAATACGTTTGTTGATTAGGCTTGGCTGTGCCCACAGCTCCTGTTATGTCCCTGCCCTGTGCCCTGTCCCGATCCCGCTGAGATTCCCTTGGGTGGCCAGGTGGGAAGTGATCTTGGCAAGCAAGCCAGGCCAGGTTCTCTTGGGTGGGAGGTTCTCTTGGGTGGGATGTTCTCTTGGGTAGGAGGGTCTTTTGGGTGTGAGGTGAGCCCAGCAAGAAGGCCAAGCCAGGTGAGGAGCTGTTATGTCCACTGAATCCCAGGGTGTCTTGGGAACAGGCCAGGGCAGACGTGGAGTGAATGTAGCCCAGAAGAGTGAGCTAGTCACTGACCCTACCCCTGAGCATGAACTCCCTTCTATTCTGCTCCCAGGTTTTCTCTCCATTGGCCAAGAACCTCTTCCACCAGGCCATTTCTGAAAGTGGTGTGGCCTTGACTGCTGCTCTGGTGGAGAAAGGCGACATCAAGCCCCTGGCTGAGGTAGGTCTCTCACTGGATGTCCCCACCCTTTTGGCTCTGTGCTCCTGAATTCACAGGGGTCACTCTTGCCGTGGTCACTCTTGCTGATGTTCTCCTAAAATCACTGAAGTGCTAAAGGCTGAGCAGGAAGGGCAAGGAGACACCTTGATCAGCCGCCCGGTTTCACAGCCAGGCAAACTGACACAGGGCTTGGAAGGGATTTCCCAAGGGCAGCAGATGTTCAGGGCAGAGCTGGGACTCCAGCTCATGGCCCTAGACAGCAAGCAAGTGCCCTGTCTGTGACCACACTCCTCCTATGCACCGGGGCCGGGTGCCACGTCAGGCAGTGGGCAGCGGGCTGAGATGATGTCTTGTGTCTCTCAGGGTCTGAGTTCTGTGGACCCACTTGTGGGATGTAGGCCTGGAGCAGTTTCACACTGAGCACCTTATAACCAGAGTTGGTCCCTGGAGAATTCACTTATTGATTTATTTGTTCATCCAACAAAACTAGGTGAATAAGTGAAGGCAAAAGCAAGAGGTGGGCAGAGGTCATTGTTTGGCTCAAAGCCAGATGTCCATGTGGAGGGGGCACAGACACTACATGGTTCTACGTGGCTCTGCATTCTAGCCAGACACCTAGCACCTCCCCAAGCTTCCACTGTGGCTCTGCATTCTAGCCAGACACTTAGCACCTCCCCAAACTTCCACTGTGATGTAGGGAATAAATGAATAGTTACAGAATCACATTATTAGAAAGCATCACTTATGACAAGAGCAGTGGAGGAGATGGACTTGATGCCACAGCAGAATCTAAAGAAAGCATTGAGTCCCAGGGCAGAAGGAGGTTACCAGGCAAGGCTTGCTGGAAAGGTGAACAGTGAGTCAGGAGCAAAGAAGGTCCAGGGAGGGGAGCAGCACATGCAGGTGTCCTGTGGCAGGAGGATGCACCCGATCGTCAGTGAGACAGAGAGAGAGAGAGAGAGAGAGAGCAGGGGGAGCGTGGCAAGCGCTGAGGGTGGGGACGTTGGCAGGGGCCATGCCACACAGGACCCTGGCAAGGATTTTGTCATCATCTGGAGAGCGGTTGGAAGCCAAAGGAAGAGGTGATCAATAGGAATCCAGACCTAGGCTGAGGAGCACCCACTGGAGCCAGTGGTGTGGAGGATTTTGGTAGATTTGAGAGCTTGTTTGGGGAAAGCATCCGAACTTAAAGGGCTGATACATAGGAGGAGAGAAAATGGAGATGCCAAGAATTTTTAGAATTTTTGATATTTTTTTTAGAATTCATTGGTTATAAGCAACAGTTGCCCATTGACCAGACTTAAGCCAAGAAGGAGTATTAGCCTGCTGTGGTGGCTCATGCCTGTAAACTCTGCACTTTGAGAGGCCAAGGCAGAAGGATTGTTGAGCCCAGGAGCTCGAGACCAGCTAGGGCAACAAAGTGAGACCTTGTCTCTACAAAAAACAAAAATTTAAGCTGGGCATGGTGGTGCAAGCCTGTGGGCCCATCTACATGGGAGGCTGAAGTGGGAGGATCACCTGAGCCCAGGAGGTCTAGGCTGCAGTGAGCTGTGTTTGCACCACAGGACTCCAGCCTGGGCAACAAAGCAAGACCTTGTCTCAAAATCTTCTTTTAAAGGGAGAAATTATTTTTCAATGAAATAGAGGCCTGGGATAAGGCTTGGCTTTGAGAAAAAACAAGAAGCAGAAATTACAAAATGAGAGTCCTAGACTCTGTTATTCTTGTCCCCACCCCACTGCCCATCCCTCGTCTGTCTGTTTTTTTTTTTCCTCTCTCTCACCCTCTACTTCTCCCTGTCCCTGTTTATTTATTCGAGAACCATCCTGGGGCTTGATTGTGTCCCAGATCCTGCACAGGGCTGTGGGGCCATGTGCACTCGCCCGGGCGCCCCCACCATGGAGCCTGCTAGTCTCCCACTGTGCCCATTTCTCTGGCTGCACTTTGCCTCCAGTCTGCATGAGCACCCCCTCTGCCCCTCAGCTTAAGGACTCACCTTTGGTTCCAGAAAGCTGTCAGGTTGTATTTTTTGTTGTGAAAAACTAGGGTTTTTTACATGGGCAGAGCTCTACCCCGATTCCAAGTTACTTTGGAGAGAGGTTCACTGTCCAATCTTTGCTTGGATGTCCCTGAACTCTTAGAAAAGTAGGAAACCACAGTGTGCTGGGCAGACTGACCCCAAACCCCAGGACAGGCAAAGGGAGCTTCTCCCTCAGCAGGCATTTTTTTTTTTTTTAAAGACGGAAATAGGTTCTTGGTACATCAATTGGTGTTGCTCTGTGGCTTGATTTGGGACAAAGATGCGCAGACCTTGGCCCAGGGCCAAATCTGTGTCTATGCTGCATGGCCTCTGAGCTAAGGATGAGTTTTTAAATTTCTAAATGATCGAAAGGAATCAAAAGAAGAACACTATTTCATGAACCATACAATTATACGAAATTCAAATTTCAGTGTTCATAAAGGAAGTTTTCCTGGAACGTAGTGGCACCCATTCATTTGCCCCGTGTCTATGGCTGCGTTTCATGCCAACAGCAGTGTTGAGAAGTTGCAGCAGAGACCACGTGATCCACAAAGCCTCAAATATTTACTGTTTGGCCTTTGATGGGCACATTGCTGTCTTGTGCCCTAAAGAGTAGTGCTTGATTATTGCCCGGGACTCCAGTACGGAAATGTGCAGGTGGAAACTCCTAGCTGTGCCACAGACGCCTCACTCGGCGGAGAAGCCCCGCCTATGTCTTGCAGGGACGACACCCTGCTTTTCTTCAGAACTCGCCTTTAAATCACATTCGCTGCTGACTGAAGTGCCTCTGTGTAAATCATCTTATCTAGGCCTCCTGTAATTCTGCAGATGTTTTATTGTGTAAGAGACATGGCACTCTCCCACATGTAGTAACTCAGGAGGTAGGTGCAGTCATTATTCCCACCCATGGGTGGAGAAACCAAGGCCCAGAGAAATCATGTGGACTGCCTGTGGCCAAATGACTGGTAAGTGGAACAGCCAGCAGAGAGTAAATTCAAGATTTCATCACCTCAACCCCAGCTCCACCTCGCCTTTCTTCACACGTTCAGCTTGTGATCATTGTGTCCATTTCAATAGAGATAGGGTAGCAGAGATGAGAGACTGAGTAATTGGCTCATATCACAATTAAGATTAATAACAGAGGCAATGCTCCGTGGGACCCAGAGCCCACACCTACAGGTCTAGAGTATCTCCTGCTGCCCTCTGCCGCCTTTACAAGTTGGGCTTGGGATAGAACACCTCTTTCCACACTGATGGAGGGAGGGACTTTTCTCTTGAACGCTGTCGTTGCCTGTGATCTTTGCAGAAAATTGCTACCATTGCTGGGTGTAAAACCACCACCTCAGCTGTCATGGTTCACTGCCTGCGACAGAAGTCGGAAGAGGAGCTCTTGGAGACCACATTGAAAATGGTAGGTGTGCCTGTTCCCGTAGCCCCCAACCTGTAAACTTGGTCCTAGATGTCTTCGTTTCAGCTCTCCTCTTGCCCTGGGACAGTTACCTGGGACAGTGTCTCACCTTTCAGGAGTAGCAGTATCTGAATGGGAAATCTGATTTGTCTTTTTCTATTGTAAAATACCACAAATGTAAAAATAAAAGTCAAGAAATAACATGATAAAAAATTGTGTAACAATCCCCAAGATTGACCAAAATTTAATATTTTGCCATTCTTGTTTTCAGATGTATTATTGAGAAATTAAACATTACCTATTCCCAGGGGACACCGTCATCCTGAATTTAGGGAATGGAGATATTAAGCTGAAAGGTTTTCAGAAAGATGTCACAATTTAACTTAGAAACTGTTTGTATCAGGCCTGGTGGTGGTCCAATATTCTAGATATTCTGAGACTCTGACTCAATTGTTATCCTAGGATACTCATCTCTCCACTCATTCATTAATCCACCTGTGTATGATCTTCTTATCCATCTATGTTTTCACTAATCCATCCAGTTCACTGATATCTTTTTATCAATCTAATATCAATGTGTTCATAACTTTGTATTTATCTAATTTCAATCCATCCACCATTCATGCATCATCCAGCCACCTTATATCTGCACTCTATCACCCATTCTCTGGGGTGATGAGACTCCAAAACCAACAATCCAGTTATCATCTGTCTGCTAGTTTTCACCCATCTATTCATGTATCCATCCTATTCAACTTACCCCATGTACTGACCACCTCCATCTATGTATCCATTCATGCCAAGTATGTGGAGGTGAGTATTAGAGGTAGTGATACAGATACGAATTGGACATAGTCCCTCTCACAAGGAACTGTCCAAGCAGAAACACATTCATATACTTCGCAGGTTGAGTATGGTGTCAGCGCAGAGGGAAAGCATTCATTATAGTCATAAGGGATGCTTCACAGAGAAGGTGGAGGAGCCAGGGTTTGAAGCCAGACAGGGGAATCTGAGATTTCATGCCTTTAACCCTGACTCCACCTTGTCTTTCTTGAGAAATTCAACTTTCAGGTCAGTGTGCCCATTTTAACAGTGGTAACAGAGACAGAGAAATTTTGTAATTGGCCCATGTCACAGTTCAAATTAGTCACCGAGGCAACACTGTGGGACCCAGAACGCACACTGGAGGGTCTAGAGTATCTTCTGCCACCCTTGTTGTCCTCACATATTAAGACTTGAGGACATTTAAGATTGATGGATGGTCATAGCAGTCTCTCATCGCAGGGAAGCCCAGCAGGACAAGCACCCAGAGGTCACAGCACCCAGGGCCATTGAAAATTATTCCTCTTGAAGGAGAAGGGTGTGAATGCCAAGCTCAGGAGTAGCCTGATCGATGGATTCTCTCCTTGGACCTGAGGCTACTCCAGAGTCCCAGGGCCAGCACTATTACTGGACTCTACTTGTGTTTCCATGGATTGAGCCCAATGTGGTCTCAGGGCTTAGATCTCGGTTCAGGGTCTAAGTGACCAAAGTGTTCAAGGAATGAAAACACGACTGTTTTCTAATGCCTGGAACGAGGCAAATATTCTAGCAATTCTGCGTTTGGCATTAGAGGACCCAGATCACAAAGGAAGAGTTGGAAGTTCGGGAAATTCCAGCCCTAAGATTCTATGACATCCTTTTGAGATTTTCTGAGATCTTGTGGAAGTGCTTCCGTGATTACCCACTGCCTCCAGTACACACATATGCAGACACACATGCACACACACAGAAACACACAGACACACACACTCAGACACATACACAGACACACACACAGACACACACAGACATCCACACAGAGACAAACATAGACAAACACACACATAAACACAAAGACAATCCCACATACACTGACACACACAGACACACACAGAAACACAGACACATACAAACACACACACACACACACTCCTGGCTAGTGGGACTATAATCCTTAATGAAGGGACTCACACTGGTCACTTGCTGTGCACAAGTCAGACCTGGGAGCTACTGTGTAACACTACAATCACTGCAATCTTGGTGAACATACACCAAAGAGATGCGTGGGGTAAGATGAGTTTCAATGAGCTTGTATGAGTCAGAGCTTTCTAATGGGAGATGGGAAAATGCCCCCAAGGTGCCTTTGAACAGAAAAAGGAATGTGCTGCATTAGCATCCCCATGTTAACTAAAAACCCAGGAGTTGATGGCTTCAGGTATGTCTGGATCCAGATGATCATAGGATTTTATTGAGAATCTACATTCTCTATCCTTCAGCTTCTCACAACTCTGTGTTGGCTTCACTTTTAGGCAGATATGTCTTCTGGGAAGGTTAAAGCCAACAGCACTCTAGATTTATATCCTATCTGCCTAGAAGCCCTCTTTCTAAACAATTCCTACAAAAGTTTTGGGGAAAGCTCTATTGGAATGACATGGGTGTATGCCCATCCCTGAACTAATATCAGTGTTCAGGGAGATGGAGCACCCCAGGTCATATATAGATGCCTGAATTCATGGAGTGATGGAGGAAGAAGGAGGTCTCTGAAGGAGAATTAGCGTGTTCTTCCCAGAGGAACAGGAACGGGAGAGGACTGGGGGCTGGGCAGCCTCAGTGGGCATCCTCTCCAGAGCTCCATCAACCTTGGCTCAGAGTCCCCAGGCTGTCCTTCCTGTGCTGGTGCCCACCCCTTCTATGCCTTTGCCCTGTGCTCAGGTCAAGTAGAGCCAGA